AGCTAGTTGAAGGTGCACAGGTTGATTCAGCAAAGTCTGAGGACTGGCATGTCCCACAAGGAAGACAAAGTGGACACTAGAGGGGAAACCAAAAGACCTGCTGTTATAGGGTTCACATCTATCACCCCACTCCCGCATGGTAAAACTTTCCCAAAAGTACCATTGTGTCTGACGATAGCACCCAAAAGCGGGAAGGAAAAAGTCAAGGTGACATCAGTCATTTGCTCATCATGACCTACATGCCTTGTTGCAATGACAGCACTAGACCACATTAAACTCACTACAGAAAAGCTGAGCAGAAATTTAATATTCTCTTTACTCTCCCCAGCCGAAAAACTAAGATACCGTGTTTCCCATCATACTGGGAATCATCTCCATCTCCATATATTACTTGCACAAATGAATTGTTCTGCATATCGCTAAGAACGGTCTCAGGGTTGGATCAGGTGTCTTATACAGCAGTGAGCTGAGGAAGGCATCGAACCACCATTTGGAAACGTATTAAATATTCCACATTAACCCATCCTGGGGACAGCCCTAGAGCAGTATGCCTGTGACACAGTCTGCTCCAGTCTGTAATCCCACGTTATCTTGGAAGCTATTGCATTTTTACTTCAGACTAGAGGCATCCACAAGGGAAATTAGTGGGCAGTAGCTCACCCAGTGATTAATCCCTGTAGACCAACTTCAGATGAACGTGTGATTCACCACGCCAGATCTCAATCACAGGGACATGCTCTGAACCTGGACCCTTCCCTCCCACCTGCTGAGCAAGTTAAAGGCACCGAATACAGAGTCCCCCTTATCCTCCCCAATGCACAATTCCAGCCAGAAGCAAGGAGAACCTTGATTTTAGTGGCTGACCCCCAAATCATTGAGGTGTCAGTTTAAGGACTGTACCCTTTCCTCTTTCTTCTGGTTTCACTCTTTTCCCAATTGCACAGGTAAAACTTTCAGCAGTCACAGCACACCACAGCACCAAGCCCAAACTACCTGGTTCGATATCCTCAGAAGCTACGTACACTCCCGCAGTGCCCCCAGGCCCACACGGGATCAGCCCTAGACCGTGCAGAGAAGGCAAGCTTCAGAGATTGTACAGTTGAGCAACCCTTTCTTCCTCTGTGCACTGATCAGCTTGTGTAGGTGACCGGGTGTGTGGCAGAGACAGCATAATTGCTTCCCTCTTCTTTCTTCTCTGACAGTCATATATCTGCACTTACTGTCCTTAAACAACAACGTGTCTTTGCAGGGAGCATACAGTGCCTCCTAAACCACAGCCTACAAGGCAATCTCCCCAGACACAGCATTTCCTCTGACTGGTGGGTTGCTTTCCTTGCTTGTGTGTGTTTTACATTGTGCTGCAGACCTGCAACACAACTCTGAGGCAAGTGGAAGTGACACCTGATGTACATACCGAGACAAATTTTACAGCCACACTTACTGTCACTGCTGCAAATCAGCCTTTGGCTGAGCAAGGTGCACTTTCAGCTCCTGCTTTCTCTTGCATTTCTTTTGCCTACCAGACACTGTACTGTGCACCTCATTTTTCTCAGGCCGTGTGTGCAAAGCCAGGACATGGTACACAGGGCTGGGTGAGGCACGGCAGGGATCGCTCTACATCACCGCTTACCGCCGCAGCGATGTCATCGGCCGCCAATGTGAAGGACGGATGCTAGACGCCTTGTTTTGCAGTTCCTGACGTGACTCAGAATGGTCTGGGAATTACACTCGGAATAAGTGATTAAAAACACTGACTACTCCTCCATTACCGTGCATGGGTGATGCTCCCAGCAATGCTGATCACAGCTGCGCCCTTGTAAATGAGAGCAAAATTAGGACTGCTGCCTGGTGAGGACGACTTGCACCATGTGAACTGCCAGCAGTACTAAAAGCCACGACTCCACAGACTGCTCCCCTCCGAAGCTGGGACAAACCCTGGGTGCTTGGAGATGGGACTGAGGGCTTGGGGAACCCACTGGTGGGAGGAAAACCACCAAGCCTGCATTTAAAGGATGCTCTGACCTCCAATGCACAGTCGCTTCCTGCTCATAGCTGTGACCTCTGAGACATCAACCTCCTCCGGGCAGATATTTGCAGGCAATAGCTGTTTCGAGAAACGTTCACAGGCATTGCAGGCATTTCAAAACGGAGGTGCCTGGACCCTTGCTAATGTTTATTTCTATTGCAAGCATTAAAATATGCAGCTTGGATTTCCTTGACAGGGAGTGAATTCTGGTGGGAAGAAGGAAACAGGATCTTGGTGGAAGAAATGGACAGCAGAGGAAGGAGGTGAAGGGGAAGGGAGGAGGGCTTTCGGATAAAAGCAAAAATAAAAACAAACTTGCTCAGAAGAGCCTGCAATGCCCTCCTGGGGATCCAGCAAGAGCACGGTCCCCTTGAACCCCGACACTCACCGTAAATCAGGTTCAGAGCCCAGAAAGGCCAACAGGCACCCGCGGTGTTACCTTACCAGAACGGTGGAAAAAGCAGGAAT